AATATAACTAACCATCCTCTTTCCTGAGATATATGCAAACAGGACTGTGGGAATATTTTACCATAAACAGAAAAATAGTTATAAAATTGGGAAAATTTGCTATAAAATGAAAAAAAAAAAAAAAGAATACCACACATTGTTGCTATGATATTGATGGCTAGGCTCAGAGCTCAGGGTCTATTTGCAAATATAGAACAAAACTCAGAAAATCATAAAGTGATTACATGACCAATTTCCTAATATTAAATTTAGAGTCCACAGAAAGGACTCATACATGCCATGCAAAGCACTGGCCCACACCCACAAGTATGAAATAGCCCAGGCAGGGATATGAGATTGCAAAGGCAAGGATATGAAATAGCCCAAGGTAGGGAATGAAATAGATATGAAATTGCCCAGGCAGGGACATGAAATTATGCAGGAAGGGATATGAAATTGCCTAAGGCAAGAAATGAAATGAATATGAAGTAGCCCAGGCAGGGATATGAGATTGCCCAGGCAAGGATATGAAATTACCCAGGCAGGGATATGAAATCACCCAGGCAGGGATATGAAATTGCCTAAGGCAAGAAATGAAATGAATATGAAGTAGCCCAGGCAGGGATATGAGATTGCCCAGGCAAGGATATGAAATTGCCCAGGCAGGGATATGAAATCACTTCAGTCACCCACCTTGACCAAGCTATTAGCCTTGTAAAATGTAAGAATGTATCCAGGCTAATAGGTTGTGCCGGCCATTTATTTTTTTGCCATTGGGAGAAAATATAATATTGGATTGGGTAGAAAATGTTTGACCTTTGAGATTGTGACTAGAAATGTTTGGGTTGATATTTTGTATTGAAAAATATCCTAGCCATCTGAAAGTGGTTGGAAATGTTTGAAGCATGTCAGAGTGGTAGGAAATGTTTGAAGTGTGTCAGACTGGTAAGAAATATTTGAGCCAAGTCAAACTGGCCAGAAATGTTTGAGGTGTGCCAGAGTGGCTAAAAATGTTTCAGTGGTGTGACATTGCTTGGATATGTTCTAGCCATGTCACACTGCTCAAAAATCTTTTTGCCTTGTCACATGGCTAGAACATTTCCGACCAGTGTCATGGGGTATCTGGGGTCCCAGTTTCAGAAAAAAAACTTTTTTTTGTGCAACATTTTGTACATTGCTTTTTTTCCCCTCAAAACTCATGTAAGTTTGTTTTCACCAACACCCTGTTTCTACCTGCCATGTTCACCACTCTAAGGTAAGTTTGTTTTCACCAACACTCTGCTTCTACCTGCCATGTTCACCAACACCCTGCTTCTATCTGCCATGTTCACTACTCTAAGGTAAGTTTGTTTTCACCAACACCCTGCTTGTATCTGTCATGTCCACCACTCTAAGGTAAGTTTGTTTTCACCAACACCCTGCTTGTATCTGTCATGTCCACCACTCTAAGGTAAGTTTGTTTTCACCAACACCCTGCTTGTATCTGTCATGTCCACCACTCTAAGGTAAGTTTGTTTTCACCAACACCCTGCTTGTATCTGTCATGTCCACCACTCTAAGGTAAGTTTGTTTTCACCAATACCCTGCTTGTATCTGTCATGTCCACCACTCTAAGGTAAGTTTGTTTTCACCAACACCCCGCTTCTATCTGCCATGTTCACCCCTCAAAACTCATCTAAGCTTGTTTGCTTCTATCTGCCATGTTTACCACTCACAAAACTCATCTAAGTTTCTCCTGACAATGTCCTGCTCAGTGTCTCTCTCACTATCTTTCTCTCTTGAGCAAATCCCTGCTCAACATCTTCAATTTCAATGCACACAATCACCCACTTCCTTGCCCATTGGGCCTTGTCATCTGATTCCATTTTGTTGCCCACCCTCCCCTCCACCTCTGCCTCTACTTCAGCTCCCAGATCTCCAAGTGCACCTTACTGCCTACCATCCCCCTCAGTCAAACCCCCACATGTCTTAACTTGTAGAAAATATCCGAAATATATCATAAAGATTTCTTAGCCAGACAAGCATATCTCAACTTGATGAGAAATATTTCTTTGGAACTCAAACATTTCTTAACTTCTAAAAAATATTGGAAATATATCATAAAGATTTCTTAGCCAGGCAAACATATCTCAACTTGATGAGAAATATCTCACAAATATTTCTTAACTTGTAGAAAATATCTCGCATTTTTATAAAGATTTTCTAACCCAACAAACATTTCTCAACCTGATAAGAAATTTCTCATGAAGATTTCTTGGGAGTCCAAACATTTCTAAGAATATTTCTTGACCAGTCAAGCTTTTTTTTGACTTTGGGCAGAAATAACTTACAAACATTTCTTGGACCCAATCATTTGTGAACTTAAGAAAAATATCTTAAATGAAATGAAATTCTTTACACAAATATTTCTTACCCTAGCCAAACATTTTTGAAGTTATCAAAAAACATTTCACAACATTTCTTGGATCTGAATTCAATCTATTGACCCAGATATCGCTAAATGTAGTGGTGGACATTAATGAAGGAATAGTTGCAGTTCAAAGAGAAGCCATGATCAAACAATTGTAAAGTAAAGCTATAAAACGAGGCAATACCAACAAGAAAGGAGGTCAGCTAGTAAGGATAGGCTCAGTGGTAAGCAATGATTAAAGACTTGTAAAGTAAATGGGTGGGACGCTTGTAAGGATAAATTGTTGGTGGTAGACTTCCATGAGAGGCTGGTTTTGGTTCAACGGTAAGCATGATCATGACACAATTGTAAGGTAAGACTTACATTATCAAGAACGTTTCAAAGACGAGGAGGCCGAGGAACCTTTAACAGCGCAGAAAAATGCTTCAGTTTCCTTAGTGACTTGAGGAGTTGGTTTCGAAGTCGAAGGGGTGGAAGTGGAGTTAAGGAAACGAGGATTGACCTTGTACGATTTCGGGGCACCACGATGGTTGTCATAAAAGCTGGCCTTGGGAAGAGTAACAAAGCTGACTTTTCGCTTCTTCAATGGCGGGGAAGATGGACAAGACGATGGACCTTGAAGGTTTTGAGTGCCTTCATCCCCCTCTACCTCAGCCTCTACCTCAGCATGGTGCCTTTTCCCTGCCACTCTCTTCCCATCAGCTTGAATCTTGCAGAACTGATTGATCCACTGTTGTGAATCTTTCACAAAAACCATCGCCTTGCCGTTAGAACTGGAAACCAGAGGGATTTCGCCATACTGGGCATTATCCTCCGATATTTGGAGAAATTCTATTGAAGTCATGATCGTGATGGGCAATTAAACTGTGGACAGGACTTACTTTGATCCCAAGGACTGATCTTCATCTTCCCCGAGTCCAACAAATTTGCAAGCAACGCCCATTGTTTATGAGATAGCTTGCCAGATACGAAATTCGGGCCCAAGGGAGTGTCCACCTTGTGTGAAGGCCATCCAGTGAGTGCGACCTTCTCCGTCTCTGCATAGTTTGCAAATGTTGTCAACAGCATTGTTGTTCTTTTACTCTTTGGGCGCGGAACGGTCTCATCTGGGTGAACTTAAATAAAATTCAATGATAATTTGCATGCCCAACTTACGCCATTTGGCCATAAAGATCTGCTTGAAATCCTTTTGACTATCCTTCGAAGGTGCATACCTTTCAGAAGATGAACTCATTCCTGAAGTCTTTCGGCTGGTGTTCACCGAAACGGGCACGTCCTTGCTTCCTTCGTGGTTGCCGTCGATATCTAAAACTTGCCGCAAATCCTGCTGATATCGAGCGGCCCTGTCGTGCCAAGTTAATCAGAAAAATGCGAAAACCATTTAACACATGTACTACCGAACGGTTGTGGCAAAGATATCAGTCCACTTTCTAATCGGATATTCCTCGCGCTCAAAGAGGTCCTTCAAAAACGACGAGTTGACAAAAAGCCCATCCTTTTGATGTGCCGAGGGGTTGTCTCCCGAGTAGACCATAATGCCCGCGACGTCGAATTCGGGGTCGGTGCGCCGGATGATGTTAAGCTAGAATGTTACTATCTAAAAACTTTTTTGCAAAGTGAATGAAGGAAAAATACTAACCAAACGCTCAATCATCGCGCGCCAGCGTTCAAAACGAACTTCTGGTGCGACGATTGAGGAACCCCCTCCCACCACGTCGTCTTGAAGGTACTCATAGACTTCTTGCATTCGTTCTTCTCGTTCCTCACCGGTAGTAGTGCCTTGCATGTACTCAGCATAGCACTTATCCATAAATTTGACCTTTTCTTCCTTTGTCACTGTCAAAAATGCTATTAAATGTTTGCAAAGTTGAAAAATTGCTCCAACTTACTTCCCTGCATCTCATCCTGGCGAGTCCGGCTAATATAGGTTCGGAATTTGTTTGCTCTGTTAGGCCCTCGTTTTTCCTTCAAAAGGAGGTTAGCTCGCTCCAAGACGAAATCGGATCGCCTTCCATATTGCATGCCCAACTCGGCCGCCATTCGGCAGACATACTCACCAAATAGTGTGTAGCAGGACTGCTCGAAAATTGTAACCTTTTTCGACGACATGGCCTCGAGTACTGCATCCTCCACTGGCAACGACATCCCAAGCTCAGCAAGGATTTCTGCAGCCGAAGTTGCAGGTGGAGTCGACGGCGCGGAAGAAGTGGAGCGGGCACTCCTTGCGACAGAGGCCGAACGCGAGTGTGGCCTGCTTCGTGTACCCTCCTCCATTTCCTCCTCCATTTCGTCGTCCTCATCCTCCGTATCGGTGACTTCATCCCCTCGTTCCTTTCGCCTGGCGCGATCTCGCATCAACTCCTGCCGAGCCACTTCCCAATCCGAGCCACTTATGTCGCTTTCAGGGACTCCCTGCGAAGCCAAGATTTGGCGGCGTCAAGCCCTCTCATGGGCGATCTTCTCCCAATTTAGGGTGTCGATGTGGTCGTAAGGTTCCCGAGGAGCAGTGTACCCCTCAGGAATGGGGACATATTCCCCCGATTCCTCCAAAAATACCTGGATCAAGCGATCCGCGGCATCCTGCTCCCCACGTTGGGGCAAAGACCCTTGATAGTGGTGGTGCCCACCATCCCAAGGCTGGGTGAAGCGATAAGTGACTGCCTCCGAGCAGAGAAGCGATTGCATGCCGTTCTTATCGTCCCATGAAAGATCGTCCTCCAGGGAGAGGATCTCGAAAGGGTCCTCTCCAGAGTTGCGAGTCTTGTCCAGTGCCATCGCCGCCTTGATGACGTACGAGTTGACGTGCAGTTCGTCTTCTTCCCTCAAAATGTTGAGGGCATCCACGTAGTTCTCGGGCAAGTGAGGGGCTGTAAAGCCCTGCAGGATCAGGAGCCACTGCTTGGTGTCGTCCTCCAAATATTTAGTGAACCAGTTGGCTGCAGTCTGGCAGCCTTCTGTCATCTCGCGGCCATGGTAGTACTGGGTGGTCTGGTCGGTGTAGCTGAAGCAATACGCCGTGTGTTTGGACTCGCATGCCTCTCGCATCTCCTGGACCTCGTCGTAGTCGAGGTCATGGATCGTCAATGACCTTGGATGGAAGTCTTGGTTCCTGATGCCGGTGAGTACCCGTCCATCTGAAGGCAAGTCATTGATGTCGAAGCTTGAGAAGCTATTGGCCTCCTCTGGCTGGTCAGGCAGGGTGATGTCCTCGTCATCAGAATGGGTGGAGGTCAAGTCGGATAGGGTGTGGTTGCTGTTGTCCGCACTAAAAACAAAGGTCGCGTGAGATTAAACATGTGTTGAAACGGCAGGTAAGTTTACTAACTTCGTGGCGCTGGACGCTGGGGCTGCAGGTTCCGGAGGAGTCGATTTACGCGCAGACCCGTACGTTTTGAGAGCGGGTTTCTTTGCGGTGATGGCAGCTGGGGCCACAGGTTCCGGAGGAGTCGACTTACACGCAGATACGTACGTTTTGAGAGCTGGTTTCTGAACGGCAGAATTCCCAGGATTGTTGGACGCATGCCTGGATCTGCCGCAACAATACCACGAGGGATGTTATGAGTTACGGAAAAAGGAAAAGAAAAAGCAACCGACCAAAGTCTGGTTGAAGAAATTTCTGCTGGCGTAACGTCTAGCAGGATGCCAGTGACCAAAGTCTGCTGAAGGGACAAAAGCCACACCCTCGAGGTCACACGGCTAAACCAGAGCAACACAAGCAGCGCGTGGCACTTCGTCGAAAGCAGCCCAGAAAAGCGAAAAAAAAAGGAGTAGATGCTTACCCGATAACGCTTGAACGAGCAGCATTTGGATGGGCTGCAGCCTCAGAAGCTGGGCCATCGGCAGCCTTGGGTCGAACAGCCGCTTCGTTGGCTACATTCCTTTTGGTAGATCAGTAAGTATTTGTGCTGCCAGGAATGAAAAATTAAGAAAAAGTAATTTACCTTGCGGTCGAAGTCTGAGCATTGGCAGTGGGTCGAACAGCCGCTTCGTTGGCTACATTCCTGTTGGCCGATCAGTAAGTATTTGCGCAGCCAACATGCGAGCAATGAACGCGTGGCAACCGACCAAAGTCAGGTTGACCATTTGCTACTGACACAAAGTCTAGCAGCATTCGAGCGACTTACGTCTGCTCTGCGTGTGGGGAATGAGTGATTAAGACCAATAAACTTACCTCGCAGGGAGGTGCACGCCATCAAACAAGACTTTGGCATTCGAAGGGCGCCAGGGCCCCTCTGCGGCAGCAGTAGCGGACTTCTTCTTGGGTGGCCCGTACTTGACTTGGGTGTACCCAACGTCTTGACGGCCAGCGTCGTTGGCAGGGGAGAAAGGCGCCCCTGGGTCAGCAGCAGCTTCAATGCTGGGGGCAGAAGAGGTGTGGATGGAAGCGCGCCGTCCCCGCTTAGGTGGGGCCACGTCAGGCACATTCTCCTTGGTGGATATAGTCTGTCGGGCAGGCATTAGATTCCAAGATAGAAGCAAATATATATATATATTGAGGGTAACGTACCGCGGAGCGAAGACGACGGTTCATGTTTGACAGGTAGTGGAGGTTTGAGGTGGATGTGTCTTTTGAAAGATTGTGGTATTTGCTGGTAAAGGAATGTGGAATGTAAACGAGAGAGTGCTGGCAAACTAAAGACTCACGTAAGCAATTGATGCGAAGTGGAGATGCAGGAGGAGGATCGCATAAACAAATCCACGCTGAGCAAAGTAACACACAAATCCTGCAAAAAAATAGTGAGAGATGTGGGGTATGAAATGAGATCTGAGACGCACCATCCACCTGGATAAGATGTGGGGTATAAATCCCAGAAGGGGCACGAATTCAGCCGCGAGAGTTGAACTCGCAGCAAAGTAACACACAATTCCTGTAAAACAGTAGTGAGAGGTGTGGCGTATGAAGCGAAGCCTGAGATGCACTATTGCCCTGGATAAGCGAATCCCGGAAGGGGAACGGATTCAAGCCGCGAGATTTGAACTCGCCGAGACACAAACGACTGTGTCTCTCCAGACCAGTCGGTCAAGCTTGAATTTAAGCATAAAACCTGTAGATAATAATGCTGGAAGTGGTGGTGAAAAAAGAGGAGCAGGAACGGAATAAGAAAGGATGCTCACCATCACGATATGCTGTTCGATATTGATACGATGCTGAAGCCAGGGAATCCCGGAAGGGAGACGGATTCAAGCCGCGAGATTTGAACTCGCGGAGACACAAACGACTGTGTCTCTCCAGACCAGCTGGTCAAGCTCGATTTTAAGCATAGAATTGCAAGACGCTCCTTGCGTTGGGCGCGCGCTAATCGGTCATGATCGACAGGTGCCACCGCCTACAGTCTGGTCGATCTAACCCAGCGACATAGAGTCTGCTGGGAGGCGGGCTTTGACGGCGTATTTTGGTGCTGGCTGCATAAAGGCTAATGGCGGTGATTTTGCAGGGGGCGTTGGGCGTATGATGGTCCTGATCGACAGGTTCAACCGACTACAGTCTGGTCGACCTAAGCCAGCGATGCAGAGTCTGCTGTGAGGCGGGCTTTGATGGTGTTTTATGGCGCTGGCTGCATAGAGGCCCACAGTGGCAATTTTGCATATCTTGCGTTGGGCGTGCGCTCCATTCGATCGACCGCTTCAACCGACTACAGTCTGGTTGAATGGCGCGAGCAACGACCGACTACAGTCTGGTTGTCTGAACTCAGCGACGTAGAGTCTGCTGACCAGAGGGCATGGTGGCGCTAATGCGCTTGAAAGAGTGCTCGGTGCGCTCTTTCATTCTTTTGTTCGTTCTCAGGTCTCAAGCCAAACTCAGTCATCTTCGAAGTTCTAAGTCCGAATTTCATCAACATCAACGTCAATTTCAAAACTCCGAGGTAAGCCCTTACTTCCCCACTCTCCTCCACTCGCAACCAGACTGTGTGTCGGTTGCAGCAACCTGACATTACGTCGGTTGCTAGCTAGAACCAGACTTTCTGTCGGTTCACTGCTGGCTTGGACGCGCTCAGTACGTGCGTGCTGATTGATCCCTGCCCACAGATCATTGGCCACCATACGGCCATCTTCCTTCGACTTACGCGTCCCTGATCCCCTGCCATTCACCCACAACGCGACAACCTCAATTGCCGCCATATTTACTTTCCAAACACGGGTTCGAGGTAAGCCCTTGCCTCCCCCACTCTCCCCCACTCGCAACCAGACTTTGTGTCGGTTGCAGCAACCTGACGTTACGTCGGTTGCTAGCTAGAACCTGACTTTCTGTCAGTTCACTGTTGGCTTCAACCTGCAGAGTCGTTGACGTGCTTATTGAAACCACCCCCCAGGATCTTTCTTCGATTGACGCGTCCGACGTCCGATCTTTCTTCGATTTACGCATCCACGATCTCTGGCCACTCGAGTAACGTGTCCTCATTTACGCATCTCTTTTACCTCAGTAAGTCGCATTTGTTCTGCCATCCACCCTCTGGAATCACACCTCGTGACGAATACTCGAGCCCGGGAATACGTACGAAGATGTGATTCTCATCATTTCGTTTGAATCCCACAACGATATCGAATAACCTTCTGATTCTTTTACAGGTATCTCTCAATTATGCTGAGGAACTTGTGGGTGTGGGCCAGTGCTTTGCATGGCATGTATGAGTCCTTTCTGTGGACTCTAAATTTAATATTAGGAAATTGGTCATGTAATCACTTTATGATTTTCTGAGTTTTGTTCTATATTTGCAAATAGACCCTGAGCTCTGAGCCTAGCCATCAATATCATAGCAACAATGTGTGCTATTCTTTTCTTTTTTTCTTTTTTTTTTCTTTTTATAGCAAATTTTCCCAATTTTATAACTATTTTTCTGTTTATGGTAAAATATTCCCACAGTCCTGTTTGCATATATCTCAGGAAAGAGGATGGTTAGTTATATTTTGTGACCTATAATAGCATGCTCTATATATTTGTGATGAATTTCCTTTTTTGGGTTAAAATTCCCACGGTATCAGAAACACAGCCTCTCACTTAGCTCCATAAACAACAATTGTAGCCCCTTTCCTTACCTTTATAGATATATATAAATAATGTCATGCAGACCATTCCTCATTGAGAAAAACACAAAATACTGAAAAAATTGGACACTTTTTGGAAATTGTCATGCATTTTTGACCAATATCTCAAAGAGCAAGAAAGCTGGTCTCAAAATATAGTCACATTGCATGATATGACAATATTTTTACATGGTTGTCTTGATTTCCATATTTGGATATGGACCCTGAATACTGGACACAGCCCCTTCAACACCATGGCAACAGAGAAGATCACTCTTAATTTTTGGGTATTTTTTTCAGATTTTCTGGCAACTTTTAGGTGGTTTCTATATTTAGATATTGACCCTGAACCCTGAACAAAGCCTCCCCACCTTACTAAGCAATATTCTGATTTTTACATATTTTTTGCTGATTTCTTTTACGATTTTTCCTGATTTTATGGCTGCTTTTCTGTTTAAGGGAAAAGGTTCCCGCGGTGATGAAAGGTAAATGAATGAATGAATCAATGAAAAATTTGCCTAAGTCCTCAGTTGATAAAGAATGAGTCTTACTCGTAAACTCGTAAGGACTCATAACAACGAAACAGTGGGGAGTTTATGTATGCATTTTGACCTGTTCCTCCATTCAGAATACTAATTACTCAACTAATTACTTATGCAGACGGCAGCCCAGATTGTTATGGCTGTGAGCATCATGATGATGGCGACACGAAGTGGCCGTTGAATCTGCGGGACTGTGGTAAGTTACGATCACGCCGTTCTACGACTGTAGTAACCATTTGTTTTGGTAGAGGACATAACTCCCTACGACGCCCTTGTCCTGGGAGAGCTCTACGATTCTTTCAAATCCTCCACGGGATCGACGTCCATCCACTCGCTTCCAGAAGGTCAAATGGTGCCTAGACGAGGCGTCGTTACTTCGCCTAATGTTTCCTGGTTGCCCTACGTCACAGTTACCCCATTGCCTGTCCGAGCTCGTGCCAATGGTCGATTCGCACATGCGGACTTCACGATTTGCCCCCAATGGTGGTTCAGCCGAACTGCCCATCTCACGTTCGTGCTGCGGCGGCCGCTCGAAAAGGACATCAACAACCACCCCCTTCACTGGCTCTGGTGGGATGTCCAACCGAAGCATTTCAAGCCTGTGGAAGGCTCGGCATTTCAAGACTTAGGAACTTTGGATGAGAAGATCGCGGACGTCATGAGATCAGAAGCCAAAAAGCTGCATTCCCAAGTAGCCGAAATCGCCCACACAAAAGATCCCAAAATCTGTGGCGGTCTCTTCTTCTTGGCCAACTGGATGCGTGACGCATCAGGCCGCCTCGCACTCGCATCGTTTTACTACTGGGATTTGGTGTGGCACGTGGCTAGCTTCCAACGCCTGTATATGGAAACCCTCGCAATGGTCGATTGGTTCAAGGTCTGGGAGGCTCGGCTCCTTGAACCCAACCGTAAGGTTCATCCCGTTGACAAGACTGTGATGGGAGCCATTACCGACAGCCTTGAAACGGCCGAAACTCTCTTCCGCATTGGGGCGCCTGTTTGGTTGGTTTGTACCCCAGCCGAAATCCCCCCTCGAATCAATATTTTGAATGTGCGCCCGCCAACGCCAAAAAGCTTGGCCACCATTCGCGATCGCCGTCCTTCTGAGGTGGATCCCCGCGAACTCTGTCTCGACGACTTTCCAAATCACCCATATCCCGATATCACAACAGCATCGCCCAGAAGCACTCTCTACATACAGGCATGTCAGTCACATTTTGAAGGGTGTCTTGGACCGGAAGATCCGAAGCCGGTGGTGAAGGAGGTGCAAAGTGGCTCCTTGTCCGTAGAGCCTGGCACAGGGCCCAGTCGAAGCGACCGCGATGTCGTTCGACCCTCTCCTTGTAAGTGATGGCTTTTCCCTGAAATCCCCTTAGTTCTTACTCACAAACTGTTGCAATAGACACCAATCCAGCTTCATTGTCAACAAAGGCATCAGGGAGTATGTCAGGGGGTATGTACTCTCAACTTAGCTGCTTTTCTATTAATAATGAAAACGTCGCAGTCACTACAAACGTCAATCGCGATAAGTTTAGTGAGATTGAGGAGGTCTTCATACCCCCTCAATCCCCGGTGTGGAAGAAAGCGCTACTGCAGGTGAATCCAGATCCGTCCCGCATCAAGGTCTCAAAAGATCGTGTCCGTGGTTACCAGTTCCCCGACCCTTGGCTTTTCATGAAGGGACCAAATCACAAGACCTTCACACTTGCTTGGCTGATCTCGCGGAGCCAGTGGCTTCAATCGTTCACCTCTCTCGACAACTCTCCTTCGCCTGCCCCACATAGTCAACACTGGTGTGATTTCTTATATCGCTTCTCGAAGGAAATGAATCTGATCGATAATACACGGGCCAAGGAACCATCAACATTGCAACCCGGACAGAAGGGGAAATCTCGGGCAAAGGGATGTAAAAAATCAGAAAAGTCGAAGCAGAAGCAAACCGCCACCCGAGGGGAGTCGTCGAGGGAGGTTCAGGCGTCATTTTTTGGTCCCAGAGTGCAAGTGGCGGAACGTCCGCATTCCATCTTCTGGCGTGATGTTTCGGTGATGGAGGGCAATACTGACAATCTGACACCGGAGATCTCGGCTGAGATTGTGTGGAATCTTTTCGAGCAAAACTTTCGTTTGGAGATTCGCATGCTTGACCAGCAAGTTTTATCAGCTGATTGGGCCTCCCAGGATTTGGCAGCAGTTCGAGATGAGTTGGTTCGGAGGGTCTTCCCTGAGGATGATGAGGGATTTTTTGTTGGAAGAATGCCGGGGAGCAATGTCGGACTTGTCGCGGAGAACTGGAGGGATCGGTTAAAGTCAGTGGAAGCTTTGCAGGTGCTTGTCGTGGGTTGGCCTGGATGTGATGCAGAAGCACTGGCATCAATGTCAATGTTTGATGAGTCTGGGAAGTTGACAACAACGCGAGCTTACTTCGAACGTATGGAGGAAATGGCCGTCGGACTGTATTGCCAGACGTTCTTTGATTACTTCGGCCGTGCCCCCTCCACCCCACATCGCATTCCAACTTCATAATTACTTGTAGCTTTTTGTTGTCACAGCTTGTTTATTTTGGTGCTCGGACTTTATAATTGACATGTGAACTTTGTTCCATTTTTAGAAGGTTGGGGGTCACTTAAGCATGCCTTGTCTGTGATTGACATCTGCTTCCCTCCCCCCCTTCTTTCTGTGTCTTTCACTCAGCAAACTCATCATGTCAATGTACAAAAGAAAGCCAGCTAAGTCTTTGCCTGCCAAGCTTTTCCCTGTAAACGATGCACCCAAAACAAGGAAACCTCATAAAGCTGCCAAGCTTCCATCTGCTGCTCTAGGAAATCTGTATACACCAGCTGGACATTTTGTTCAGCCCTTTAACCCAGAGGTTATCTCAGCTTCCAACCCCTTTGAGCCACTGGCAATAACTCTTACCTTTGAGAATGATGGTAATACAGTCCAGATGCCAGGGAAGAAGCAGAAACAATTTCAGCGATGGGAGAATGAGGTTCTTCCTAGTCTCATGGAGCCATATGTCAAACTTCTGCATGAAACAGACTCTTTGCGAAATATGGCACAAGTTCGTTCTCGAACACAATGCACTGGTTGTGAGTCAGGCAGACTGTTGAATGTAGCTTGCATTTTTTTTGAGCGTATGTTATCTTATAAATTTTGAGATGTCACTAATATAATTTGGGCAGGTATTGAGATGCTTTCCCTTTGCAATTGCACTTCCCCAGCACTTCAACTCCTTGAACTGGGGTTCTTTCCATGCGCACCAATTAATCCATCTCTTGCAGTTGACTTGAACATGCTCGAGTTTGTAAATGAGCTGTTTGTAAATGCAGCTCCCAATACTACTGCTTGGTGTGAAACATTGGAAGCTTTTCTTGGGAACAGAAAATACAAGTTGACAACTCGGGTATGTTTATTATTTTTTGTCAAAGTTTCTTGCTTTTTGAGAGATTTTTTCTTTTTAGAATAGTTTACGTCGCCGTTTTGGAAGTGCTATGCAGTGGTATGCAACTTTGATTGACAAGAAAAACCTTCTTGTCAACAATTATCTGGATTCTATGAGAACTTTAAGCAAAGTTTCAGGTATTTCTTGCTTATGACAAGCTTTCTTGACACTAAAAAAAGTTTTTGAACAGAAGATGGTGAATTTGAGCAAGGTTGATTTATTTTCCTTGCTCAGTTGAGATATATTTCTGACATGACTCAAACTTTCTTAACAGATCAAGGTTTTTCTTTCACTTGGTTCAAAAATCTTTCTTGTAATTCACCTTTTTGAACAGACAAAAATATTGAAATGGAACAAGGTTTCTGTTTTTGCTCTTGATACAAGAAATCTTTCTGCTGACAATAAACTTTTTTTGCAGATGAAAACATTGAAATGGCTGATGGTATTTATTTTTCCACAAGAAATCTTTCTGCTGACAATAAACTTTTTTTGCAGATGAAAACATTGAAATGGCCAATGGTATTTATTTTTCTTTTAAGTAAAAAGTTCTTATGCTAATTCTTTTTCCTGTGTAATACAGATAATATTGATCAAGGTTTTTTTCCCTCATTTTTGGCTCAGAAAAAGTTTTATATCTAACTGTTTTCACATTATTTTAGAAGATAATATTGAAATTGGTATGTGGTTTTTTGTCCAGTGAAAGGAATGTACTGGAGCAAATGTTTAGATGAGGATATGCACACTGCTGCACCAAACTTGGGAAGACCAAGTGATTATCTGAGAGGACGGTGTCCTTTGTGCTTTGGTGGAAAAGATTGGTCAAAGCCTGATGATTTGTATGTGGAGTTTTTGGCCAACACTATTATTGTGATCTCAACTTTTTTTTTGTAAGGGTTGATTTCATTGTATGCTTGGATGCTTGTTTCAAGCAAAAGTCACGCAAGGCTCAGGGTAAAGAGGCACCTGCCCCTCGGAAGCACCCAGATACAGCATTCGTCTCCTCAGAAGATGTCAAGGTGATGGAGGATGTGGTCAATGAAACCCGCCCAGAGCCCAAGTCCAAGTTGAAAGGTAAAAAGTCACAAGATACTCCTTTACAGCCTCAGAAGGATGAAAATCCTGACTTGTGTGAGCCTGGGCTCAAAGTTCCGAACTCTGTGCTGAACATGTGTGGTGACTCTTTTACTGCTGCAGATGAAAAACGAGTAAAAGCTAGCACTCAGTTCTTTTCTGATACTGGACTCATGGCTCTTCTCTGTCGACATGATCGTGTCTTATGGCTGGTAAACATGACTTCTGCAGGAGAGAAGCAACACTATGCTCTGGTTCTTTTAGAACGTTTGTTCAACCATTT